AGACTCCTTTATGTGCACTGGAGAGCCAAAACATTCGTGTAACTCACTTTGTTGTGATAGGCACTTTACTGTGGTTGTCTCAAACCAAACCCACAATATCTCTGAGGTATACCTGTATATTCCATAAATTTCATTATCCATACTGCTAATCAACCTTGCCACTTAATTAGATAAATTATCATACTTGAGCTACTTATTTGAATTTTAGTGTTGCTATGAGTTGTAACTGACTTGAAGGCATTAAACAGCAATTTAAAAACCTCAGAAGATTAGAAAAAAGAACTATCCAATTTAAGAAGGGTTAGCAAAAACTCTGTTTGATATACAATTTTTAATCCATAATAAAGTTCCATTTCAAGTAACATTATAGTTTAGACTCAAGAATTCTTGCATTTAAATTTGAATTTGATGTTATAGGTCATATAGGAAATGTATCAGGGCGAGACTGGAAGGAAACATAAAGGAGATGTCATCTCAGAAAACATTCATGTATTACTCCTTGTTGTTATTAAATAAGATTGTTTATAAAGAAAGGATTACAGAACTTTAGCGGTCAAATTAGGATTTGACTGTCCTAGTCAAATTAGAAGCATCACTCTTACTTCATCAGGAAGATCAAGAAATAAAAACACCAAATAATATTCCATTTAACAATGCAGACGTTACAGGAAAAGGAAAACCAATTTCCATTAAAAGGCTACATTTATTTGACTGGTCAAAAAATTAATGGAACACATTTGTATTATTAGCTCTTTCTAATTTAGCTGTTAGTTAGCATCTCCTACCAGTTATTTTGGAATAAATGAGGTCTGAAAATCTGTCCACTGTATGTGAGAAAAGGTCTTCATACCATTCGAATATCTATTTTTCGAAGCTGTCTCTTTGTACCCGAGAAACCAGACCTTTTCTAATAGAGGATATTTTAGAGCTTGACCTTAGCCTGCATGGCTAAGTCCACTGTGTTAAGATAATGGACTCTGAGGTCTGAGCCTTTGGCTTTGCGTACTGCCTCTGCTACGAGTTAGCTATTTGATCTATGGCAAGTTACACAATTGTTCTCTCATCAGGGAAATAAAGATAATAACCGTATCTGCCTCATAGAGCAATTGTAAAGATTAATTGAGATAATGTACATAAAGTGCTAAATTGAGTGGCACCTGGTAAGTCTTTACCCTACATGTTAGCATTGTTATTGCCCCTGCAATTATTATTTGCTTAATTGGGTAATCAGCAGTCTGTGAGCTCTGAAGTTGTAAATCAGCTTCTGCTTCATGAGAATCAGGTAGACGATTTCTTAAAAGGCAATCAGCTAGCATTTCTGTTATCTTTCTACATTTCAAAATATTTTACAGTAATTATTTCACAACTTTCCTCGGGAAGTGGGATTGGTTTATTTTTACCCACTGAGAGAAAAAAAAAGGATGATTTGATGATTCTTATTCAAATGATCCTACTCAAATTTTAAAGAACTGAAGAAAAATTCAAGGCTTGGGTTGTAATACTGAAAGATTCTAAGGGCAAAATATTGAATGACTCAGGAAGCATCAAAAGAAGATGAAAGGGATACACAGTCACTGTACCAAAAAGAATTGCTCATGCATTTGAAGAAGGCCAAGCTGCATTGAAAGTACTGGAGAAAAATAAGGCTTCAGAAAACAAACTGAAATGTTTCAACAAACAGATGCAGGGCTGGATGTGCTCACTCATCTATACCAAGAAATTTG